TCTCCTCAGCACCAGATGCACAGAACTCACCAGGCCTGTAGACGCGGAAGGTGCGGGAGAGCTGCACCACACTGTCGTAGGCGGCGCTGGTCTTCTTGGGCAGCAGGTAAACGGACACACGGACCTTGCCACGCAGGTTGAAGAACGTCAAACAGAAGCGTTCTGCGGTGTTGGCTATGAACACCTTAGGGGCCGTCAGCAGAAATCCCCTGCGGCCGCGACAGCGGGGTCAGGTGAGGCACACTACACAGGACGACGAGGTCAGGTGAGGCACGCTGTACTGGCTGACGAGATAAGGTGAGGCACGCTGTACTGGCTGACGAGGTCAGGTGGGGCACGCTGTACTGGTTGACGAGGTCAGGTGGGGCACGCTGTACTGGCTGACGAGGTCAGGTGAGCCACGCTGTACTGGCTGACGAGGTCAGGTGATGCACGCTGCACTGGACGGCGAGGTCAGGTGAGGCACGCTGTACTGGCTGACGAGGTCAGGTGATGCACGCTGTACTGGCCGACGAGGTCAGGTGAGGCACGCTGTACTGGCTGACGAGGTCAGGTGATGCACGCTGCACTGGACGGCGAGGTCAGGTGAGGCACGCTGCAGAGCTCGAGATGGTCAGACCTTCACGGGGCCCGTCCAGCACGCATGCTCGGCCTCCCTCACGACCACGCTTTTTTCTCCCCATTCGCTATTGATCGCTTCGCCTAGGCCGATGAACCTGATGGTCTCGAGGGACGTCAGCACATGCTTAGACTCGCTGTCCGTTTAGTTTTCGTTCCCTTTTTTCTATTCTTTTGATCCGCCGTGGAAGGCTGAACTTTCGCCAAGGTCCGTCCAGAGCGCCCGCAGGAACGTCGTTATGCGCCTGCTGTCCCCCTTCTTTGCTTGAGCACTTGTCCGTCCCGATAGATTAACTGGTTTAGCAGTGTACCCGCATGCGTATAATGTTAGTTGTGGTTTTTCGTTTTTTCCCGCACGTCTTGCTGTTAAATTCAGCGCGGATTTTAGCTGTAGCTACGTCCAGTGCACGCGCTACACGGATTCTGTTAACGAGCGCGTGTATTCCCGTTCTGCATTTTTCCTCTCCGTGTCGCTGGCCCGGCTAGATTGCTGTCTGATCAGTGCACTCCCGTCTGGGAGGGGTCCGCTGCGGACACCGGAGGCTCGGCGCGGGAGAACGGCATCGAGCTTTTCGAAGCGGACGGGATCTCCGGCCTGTTGGCTAGAGATCGGAGAGAGATCCCCTGCCGTGGACGCCGAGGCATAGCTGCGAGGCCCGCCGAGCCCGCTACATCTCGAGAGACCGTCCGCGACTGCGTGACTAGGGGAGGTCACTCGCAGGGCACCGTCCGAGATGGCGCTCGGAAAGAGACGCAGCCGCCATCTACCAGCCGACGTTGGCAATCGCAGCAGAGGGCAGCACCCGACGGTGCGCAATGGCGGCGCGGGCACCTGCGACCCGCCGGCAGATGACGGTACCTTACGGCGTGGACGGACGATGCAGCCCAGCGCTCGCGACCCGCCGGCAGATGACGGTACCTTACGGCGTGGACGGACGAGGCAGCCCAGGGCTCGCGACCCGCCGGCAGATGACGGTACCTTACGGCGTGGACGGACGAGGCAGCCCAGCGCTCGCGACCCGCCGGCAGGTGGCGGTACCTTACGGTGTGGACGGACGAGGCAGCCCAGGGCTCGCGACCCGCCGACAAGTTGCGGGGCCGCGCTGCTCGCCGAGCGTGTGGGACTGACATCTAAGGGAATGCTGGTTGGGTCATCGCTGCCCGCTCGGTAGCCCTCGCTGCACCGGGCCCGCCGTCCGCCAGCGGACACGGGCGTGGTCGCCGCACGATTTACACTGTACATGTGGCGTGACAGACGGGCGAATATCGTTCGAGATCCCGCCATCGATGCTCATAAAAAAGGTGACGCGGAACCAGGTTGTAGGACAGGCCGGTCAGGCCGAGTCTCCAGAGCGCGCCGGCCGAGGAGACCATAAGGCGTAAACGCAGGTCACGCCAGGCGCCCGTCGTCTGCCGAGGGACTCCACCGTCCCATCGCGCGCGCTGTCTACCTCCAGGCCTCTGAGGGACGCGCCGTGGGGCGGTGTCAAGCTCGCTTCGGCAGGTGGGAGGCGAGGTCGCCGAAGTACCGGAGGCGACGCCTCTGTGCTGGACGAGGCGCTGCCGCTGCTCTGTTCAGCTGTGCGCGGCAGCGGAAAGCTGCAAGCGGTGCGCATGGCCAAATCAATGATGGGCCGCCCTGCGTGGACGGAACCCGGGAAAGTCGTCCGAACAGGGAGCTGTCACCCTGGAGATAAGGCGAGGGAACGAGTCACTGTCCAGCTTCTGACACCTGATGACGGCTCAGTAGCTGCGTCGGTGCCGAGCTGACAAATTAATATGATCTGATTTTTTAAAATGGGACTTAAACGTGGCTCAATTGAATAGTTGAAATGTGATGAATAAATTTAAGTTAACTTTACGAGGACTCACGCAGACGAGCCAATTATAATGCCAAGGCGCTGGATAAAGCGGGGGGGGGGGGGGGAGTCCCTTCCGCGTGCGAGCCAAGGATGAGCAAGGTGTGCTTGTTGCTCGCAATGTAATTCGCCAGTTGTATGGAACCCTTGCCAGTTGGGCACATTGTCAGCGCATTCGGTTTCTTTTTTGCTCCGTTTAAATGTCATCATAAACTAAGAAGGTGGAGGTGGGGTACGGTGGTTAAGAGCGCACAACCATGTACGGGAGACAGCTGTTCATGGTGCCTGACCGGACCTACCATCCCACCAATGCCCCGGTCACCCGCTTCATCCTAGCCCTGTGGCTCACATGCATGTGTGTTGATGTCGGGTGTGCCGGAATCACAATGTGCCGAGTCGTGCACTACCATTATCTGGCTCGTATGCTGAACGATGGGCTCCTCGTTATAAATTCACTCTTGTTGACAGGCGTGACTGCAAATGTGACGGCCGACGGCACGCAAACATCCTGCGGCGGCCCGGCGGCAGCGCAGCGCACGCACTCCAACCCCATACCCCGCCCCCCACAACAGCACACATAAAGTGCACATCCTCATAAGATTGAAGTCGAACTTTTGTACCGGTCTTCATGTTGGTTGATTGCCTGTTTGCCAGGTTATCGACTTGTTCGTTTTCCGCCTGTCTTTGCTTTCTATATTTGCCTGTCCGGCGGTCTGTCTTCCTTGCTTTCTGCTCATGTGCCGCTGATTTTGTCTTGTTTGCTGACTTCTGTTAGCATGTTCGTTGACAGTGCTTTCCTGCCTTCTGCCTGCTGTTCGCTGGTTTGCAGCCTAATGTTTGCATGTTTTCTGCCTGCTGCTTGCATGCGTGCAAACTTCCCTTTAGCGGTCCGCTTGTCTTATTGTGTTTGGCGGTCCGCTTGTTTTGATCCGTGGCCTGATAGGTCAGGCTTGGAGAAAAGCTTTCGAGATAATTCTGAAACCGTACCGCTCAAAGATGCATTAAGAAACAACTCAAAGATCAAAGATCAAGTCAAAGATCAAGACCGCAAAACGCGGTACCATAACATTTGTCTTTTTCTTGTCAATAAAGGGCAACACAAGTCGTGCTTTATTGATACTTGTGATGCCTGCTTGGGTCAGACTTGCAGACACCAGCTGAAGGTCATAGGCCAAGGTCAATCAAAAGCAGCGCCCTGACATTTTGTAGTTTACTTAATAGATACATCGGAGACATTGCAGCAAGCAAAGAGTGCATTCATATCAGAGGATCTGTCACCAGAATTTTAATGCGGCAACAGTGTGACGAATGATAAACAATGCTTATATTTCGCAGTCAAGAATCGCGATGTGAAATGTTACCCATTGTGTTGCGCGGTCATGATCGTCGTAAAACACCTCACTGAAGTACATCTACAGCACGGGCTGAAATGTGTTGACTGAGCGAGTGATATGGAGCGTCAGCTGCTTTATGTAACAGCATTGCTGATCGTTTCATGAGTGCATTGCATGAGTATGTGCGTGTGTGTATGTATGTGTGTTTGAGCATATGTGTAGACATAAGATGTTAAAGCATGAAAAAATTGATAGAATTGCAAGTATGAAATGTGTAGAAACGTCATAGCATTTAACGCCAATGTTTGGCCTTTGCTGGCGTTTAGATCTGTTTATTGGATTATTTTCCTACATGTCGTTAAAGCAATTAAATGTAATTGTAATAGAATCAATAGAAATGGTCCCTTCTGCAGGCCCCAAACCTTCAAAATCAGCACGCCTCGGTGGTGGCTGGTATAGCTAGCGCTGCACCTCCCATATAGTAAGAACAGCGCTCCAGTCCCTCTCCGTCGTGGAGGACAACGCCACAGTCCCACTCCGCCGTTGAGGACAACACTCCAGTTCCTCTCCGCCGTTAAGGACAACGCCCGGGTAACACCCCAGTCCCGCTCCGCCGTTAAGGACAACGCCCCAATCTCTCTCCGCCGTTGAGGACAACGCCACAGTCCCACTCCGCCGTCGAGGACAACGCTCCAGTTCCTCTCCGCCGTTAAGGACAGCTCCCGGGTAACGCCCCAGTCCTGCTCCGCCGTTAAGGACAACGCCCCAACCCCGCTCCGCCGTTAAGGACAACACCACAGTCCCACTCTGCCCTTAAGAACAACAGCCCAGTGCCTCTCCGCCGATAAGGACAACGCCCCAGTCCCTCTCGGCCCTTAAGGACAACGCCTCAGTCTCTCTCCGTCGTTGAGGGCAACGCCCTAGGCTACGAACTTCCAGTATAGTGGTCGAATGTCCGAATGTTTCATACTCTGTGAATTACGGAGAGCAGGCAACTGCACATCATGTCGAGTACGAGAGCCAGCTGAGTATCGAAGTTAATCAGTGGTCCATGTTCATCCCCCATCGACAGCAGCCATGGACGTAGAGGCCGGCGGGTGCGTCCTGCATCCCCACTGCATCCCCACTGCATCGCCACTCGAGAAACGGCTGGCATGGCCGCTGCCAGGTGCCCTGTCGGGGGACTCACCTATGGACATAGCCGTCAGCAGACGACACCACGAGCAGCGCGAGCAAAGCCAAGCGAGGGCCGGACCACACGGTGGACGCCATCACCAGAAGCTGCACGATAAGGCTGACTGGCCGGCGGCGCACAATTTATACTCTCCGCGCGTGAATTTAAAATTTTTTTCAAGTGAATTCATGTGAATTGAAGTGAGTTAAAAATTTCCGGACGATGATTGTGCTTGATTTGTCAGCATTTTCTTTTTAAACAGCAAGCCAGTCTTTAAAGGACACCAACATTCGGGGGATTCAACAAAGATCGATTGTCAGCTATTACCACGATACAGCGTCTACCTAAGAATTAGAATGCGTGAACATACGTGTACATGTAAACGAATTCAAGCAAATGGGCATCACGCATAACGCTTCATTCAAATATGCAAGCAAGTTGCAGTAAACAGGCATCACACATTGCGCATCAATTGAACATACAAACGATTTCCATCGAACACGCATGACGCATCACGCGTCAGGCATCGCTTACACATGTACACGATTTTAAGCTAGCTCACATCACACATAAAGGCATATATCCTCTTCGCATAATCGACCATGATGATCCCTGTATGTTAAAATTTGATCGCCGACTTTTTACGTGAACAGGTTCACTTATTTTCCCGTCTGGGTGCTGCTGTGCCCTGAGATGACTTTAAGCTCTAAAAGGGGCCTAGGGTCCATCTTCTCTTCCCCTCGATTCCAGTGTGTTGTGCGGGCCGCGCGGGGAGGAGGTGCTCGGCGCGTAGACGCACGAGGGTCGCGCCGAGCTGTGCAGCGCGAGATGTATTGTGCCGCAGCACCAACATTCGATGCTCACCTCACCCCCGAGTACGACGGGACGGGCGATGTGAGCTGGATGATGCGTGCAGAGATGATGTGCTAGCTGAAGCGGGGCCCGCCGAGGCGGTCATACCCCTGCGCCTCGCCGGCGGCGCGTTCCACGTCTGGTCGCAGTTGCCGGTGACCGACCGCTGCTCCCTGGAGGCTGTGCTGGGCGCACTATACTCCACGTTTGCCCTCGATCAGTGCGCCGCCTACGAGATGTCCGCCACTCGACGATTGATGCCGGGTGAGGCGGCTGACGTGTTTCTGGTCGACTTCCGGCGGCTGGCGGTCCTGTTCGGTGGACCGCCGGAGCGCGCGCTGGCCTGCGCGTTGGTCGCGGGGCTGTCGGACGCCGGACGCCAGACCATCCGCGCCGGTTCCATGGCTGAAGGATTGGACCTGACCACCGTCCAGGCTCGTGCTCGTGCCGTTCTCAGTGATGAACGGGTCTCGGCGGCAGCAGTGCTGCGACGGGCCGCGGCGCCGTCCCCCGGCCAGCGCCGTGTGTCGCCGCACAGTCAACCGCCACGCGCCCCGTGTCACCTGCACTGCTGGGCTTGTGGAGAGCTCGGTCACATCGCGGCGAGGTGCCAGCTGCGACCGGGAAACGGAGCCGGAGGGGACGGGTCAGCACCGCCGTCCTCTCCTGCGCAGCACTGAGCGGTGCGCTACCCGTCACGCGGCTTAGGATGGATGGCCGGGAGCGCAGCGCCCTGATTAACACTGGCAGCGCAGAAAACATCTACGCTCTCTTCTGCGCGCGGTGGACGCCGCGGCAGGTGCGAGTGATTACCGTCAGTGGAAGTGAGCTGAGGCGCTGCGGGGTTGGCAGTGTTGTGGAGGCGCCGACGGGCCGCCGCGCCTCGCTCGAGACGGTGGTGGTGGGGTTGTGGGGCCGTGTGTTGTGTGCCGCTGAGCGTGGATGCCCCGGGTTTCAGTGTGTGCTTCGACGCGGCGGGGTGGAGGTGGACCGTTGCTTGGAGATGGTCGGACGCCGTGGGACCGGAGTGTCTGACGAACACTCGCCCAGTGCGCTGTGCCGCTCGTCGCGAGTATGACGCCGGGACGCGTGGGTCGCACAGGGTTGGCTGGTGCCGTATGATGAGGGTCGCCATGGGACGGCGAGGGGCTGGTACCGTTGATGGCCGACGCTGACGTGTGTGCTGATCAGCTCCGGAGATGGCGACGCCAGATATGGCGTGGTAGATCTCAAGACGTACTGCAGGTGTGTAGAGGAGCGGTTGGCATTCAGACTCGGGCGAGCGGTTTTGTTGACCCGCTTGGGTTGCGACACGCCCCTCTGGTGATGAAGCGTGTGCGATGCTAGCAGGAGGAGGTGTGTATGCTGGATTCGAAGAGTTGTCGTGCGAGCGGCCACTTGCGTGGTAGAGTCGGCGGAGACGTCATCGAGGACGGTGCTGGCTGGACCGGGATGAAGGCACTAACATAGCGGACGCGGCGAGGTGGCCGTCGCTGGGAGCATGGACCGTCGCACCGAGACGTACAGATGAGCCAGTGGTGCGCGCGCCGAACAAGGACGGCGGCTGCACCCGGCGCGGTCGGAATCGTCTGGGTCGGGTGCGGCTGCGGTTTCGGTGACACTCGGGAGGGGAAAGCCGCGCTGAGCGTCCAGAAGGTGGCTCCGTATGGGACCGTTGTTGAGCCCGCCGCCGCCGAAGGGCGTCAAGCCGCGGTGACCGTGGGTGAGCCCCCGCCGCCGAGCGCCAGCGCGGTGACCGTGGGCGAGCCACCGCCGCCGAGCGTCAGCGCGGCGAAGGTGGGCGAGCCGCCGCCGCCGAGCGTCAGCGCGGTGACCGTGGGCGGTCCACCGCCGCCCGGAGATAACGCCGCCCGGAGATAATGAGCTCGTGCCTGGTGCTTCACCAAACAAAGACATCCATTTCAAGTTGGCATGGACGTTATATCAAAACCTGACAAAACTTCATACTTAATGTCGCATAACCCGAACCGGCAACAAAGATCTCCGAGCTGACTATACACGATCTACCACATTTTCGTGAACAGGAAACGTGCCAACAAACGTGACCTGGCGGAGGTGATCGCTATACCATGCCGTGCCAAAGTTCCCAGCAACGTACCTAAGACAAACAGGCAGTTCAATAGCACAGCTGATGCTCCGCGACTGTTTTTGATGCACTCCAATGCAGCCAGTGCCGCCACAATGACTTAGCTGCAGAGCATCCACACTATAACCAGCGGTGTGTCCCAGCTTAAGATCAGCTAGTTTTCCGAAAGAGGCGGCTGCTACATCTCGGCCCGCTGTACGTGCGGGCTGCCGGAACCAGGCTTTAGAATTTACAGACTGTGAGAATTCTAAGGTTTGTCAAGTAGTGATTTGGCAGGATTTACGCAGCCCTTAATCGTGCTATATTGAAGGTGACCATTATGCGCCGAAGACGATGAAGCTGCGTTGGAGCTGGTGACATGGTGCTGTGACTAACACCACGCCGGATCTGTAGGCAAGACGACAGAGCCGGCCAAGACGGAGCCCGTGAACGGAGGAGCCAGGGCGCCTGAAAAACATTTAAATGCATCTGACATTCTAGGAGTGAAAGCAGGAAGCCATAACACGTTCCTTCCACTGTCTACACCACAAATCATTCACGTCTTAATATGATTTCTAAACGGGTGGCTTAGCCCGTCCATGACTTATGATGGAAAACGTCTCGATAATCCACAATTTTTGTTCACTTTGCTAACCGTGAGGATATTGGGGCAAAGCAAAATGGTGCGGCTTGTACCGTCGTGACAAAGACAAGATTTTCGACAATGGTTTGACTTGTCTCTCCAGCCAGGGCCGTTCACACTGCACGAGACTACCTACATTAGGTTACCATCGGACGTCACATGGGGTGAAATTCGTGTTGAGATAAAACGGTTTGGTACACCCGTTTGAGATCAACAAGGCGGAAAATAGAAGTAGTAGATAATTCAAATATGATACTCCAAACCCATGACTTTTCACATCACGTGACCGGAGAAGCGGGACAATTGTATCAGATGAACTGACCTGACCTGACATGACCTTAGCCTGAGCTGACGTGACCTTAACCTGAACTGACATTACCTCAAAATTCTAGTTTTATGGCATGATCCTAACAGACAAGAAAACGTTCGTTCGTTTCGCCTAGTTACACAGCTCTACGGCCAATATTGATGGTATACTTGCTCTGATATGGGTTTGAAAATAATGGTCTCATTTGCTCTGAGGTCACCGAAGATTTCGATGCTTTCCAAGGTAATCTGCACTGCCTGTAACGTCGTCAAGCGTGCCATGCGTCACGCAATGCCTGGGTGAATTTGCCCGGGATAACCACTGTTGGAATTTGTATTAGCCGATTACATCCTTAGACACCCAGACACACCGTTCTTATGGCGCTGGAACGCAAGAAGCTCCGTATTTCGGGTAAAGTTTTCGAACGAACACCTGGTATAAATGCACTCTCCAGCGTGCGTTTCAAATAATGTAATATTTTTTAGCAAATTTTCTTAGCATCAGGCGAAAATTAACGGAACCTTCCTTTCATTCATACTGGAAACGGTCAGTCAGGTTGGGTAAGGCAGGCAGGCAGAGGTGGAATATATATTTCATGGATATACATATACACACATACACAGCCACACTCATGCATATATACATATATATGCATATATATGCATATATATATATATATATATATATATATATACATATTCCTTGAATTTTTTGTACCTACTTTATACTTTGTCTACCATCACTCACAAACCCGTGCTGGATGATGTCCTTTACATCCTAAATGATCATATATCTAATGGTTTTTAATGGGGATCCTCAGTTTAGTAAACCAGAGCTGAGCTCAGCGCTCTGGTTTTCCAAACTGAGACCTGCTAAACTAATCTGAATCCTGAATTATCTTTGCATGCACATAAGTTTTATCCATGAAATAACTTAAAAGTTGTACGTTGGCCTTTGCTACACCCGATATCTTCAACTTATATGCACATTTTAAAGTCAAGCTCACATTTGGGACTCATACTTGTGACTCAACTCAAATTAAGTTATTATCCCAGCCAGCATCCTCAAATGGGACCCACATGGGCTTAACGTGGGGCAACTGGGTTAATATGGGCGTGGGCTACAGGTGGACTTTTAACTGGGCTCCAGCTGGGTCCCACACGGGGCGCCCACATCATTTCATATTTTTGCATGCACCAGAGCTGTTTGTGCATTGTACTATTCCGTCAGAATTCATCACGCCAAGAAGAAATAACCCATTAGAAGGTAAT